ACTGCGGTCGTTTCACATATCTCACTGCTGTGGTTTTTCTACAGCATGCGCGTGCGGGTACGCAAATAGGTATCGACGCTATGTAGACAGAAACAGGAGACATCTGCCTTGTATCAGATTTTTACCACCTGAGATCAGACGGTAGGATGATGGCTGAGATGACCATCAGACACTGATCATCCACACACCTTTTGCTCTCGACCACATCCATTTGCTGCAGCGCCAGGCGCAAGGATGGCACGAAGGGGATCTGTACTCCGGAAATACTACGCGTTCCTATACATCCTCGCCATTGCATTCTTCGCCTGGTCCTGGCTCAGGCAACTCTTCCCCCAGACGGCCGCAGTCGTCGACGGCGTCAACGCTACCCTTCTGTGGACGGGGAACAAGTTCTTGCTCGCCCTGTCTGCAGCTTCATTCATCACCGCCGTCACCGCGGTCGGGTACCTTGTGGGCGACGCATACAAGTGGCTCACAGGAGTATCTCGCTGTCGCTGCTGACACCACCACACCCGAAGCGCTTGAGGAGGAGAAGGCTGTGCTACCTGATGGCCAAGCTCAGGAGGGCGCGCCTGACGACGAGCTCCCACCTCAAGCCGTGAAGATCAACACGGCGGGAAAGATCACAGGGATCGTACTCTGCGGCGGGCTCTTCGCTGTGGACCTCTGTTACCGCGCCATCGTGTCGCGCGAGCAGCCCGCGCTCACGAACATCGGTGCAGCGTTGATGCATCTATCTGTTCAGCGGAATCGAGGCGCTGTTTGTTTTAGCGATTGCGCTGGGGGGGTTCATGTTCAAGATGTCTCTTGGAGGTTCCGCAATCAGCCGGTGGGCGGAAGCTGTGGAAACTACTGCGCCTCTCGCAGCGACGGTAGAAGCAGAGGAGCAGCCTGATGTGATGGAGAAGAACGATGGAAACGAGGGGTCGGACCAGAATGTTTGACGATATTAAACGGTGGCGACATCTATTTTGCACGTGAAGGCCCCAAAACCGGATCCGACCTCCAAACCCATTATCATCGGTCCTCGTGTTGCGCGTTGCATATTGGATTCCACGTGACTGCGAAATTGAAAGATGTCACGGCCGTGACCTGAAATTCAACACACTTAATGGATGTGGTCGATTCCAACACTCCCCCTCAAAAGTGCAACGAAGCCCAAGCTTCTGAACGAAGTATTGTTTGTTGCAATTAAGAGGTGTCCGGGTTGCAAGTGGTTTACCCAATTCGCCGATGAGCGCACGAAGCCAGATGGCTTCCTTTGCTGAATGCATCATCGCGATGTACTCGGCCTCAGTCCTCGAGAGCGCAATAATTGGTTGGCGCTTCGAGCTGGCAGTAACACAACCTCCAATCATAAATGCAAATCCAGAGATTGAGTGTCTATCCGGTTGAGATGCGTGGTCGGCATCCGAATATCCGTGGAGTGGTGCGTCCGCTCCGCCGAGATGGAGCTGTAGATTTCTTGTCCTGAAGAGGTAACGGAACATCCGTTTAACGGCCTCCCAATACACCCTTCCCGGATTGTGCATGAATCTTGAGCACATCGACACTCCGCGTGCTAAGTCAAATCATGTCCCTTGGCAAACGTACATGAGCTTACCCAGTGCTTCAATGTACAGGACGTTCTTCATATCATCAATTTCTGCCTGAGTTCTAGGTTACTGCTCCGCAACTGAAGTTGAACCGGGCTCCATAGACGTCGAAATTGATTTGGCATTCGTGAGATTAAACCTGATCGATTGAGATAGTACGCGTCGCGCGGTCTCGTTTGATATGTCGGAAAAAAGCCAGTCAGCTTGCAACGGCATGGTTCAGCATGTGATCTTCGGAGTGCTTTGAAGCGTGGCAGGGGGCCTTCGAACCACTTTCAAGCCATCTGAAGCCTGAGCGTGAGTTACAAGCAGTCCCATGGCGTCTCAAGGTACGGACAAGTCACATGATAATGTTCAATTTATGGTAAAGTGCGCTCAGTGAGGAGAGAGTGAAAAATAAGATTGTCAGCATAGTTGAACTCTCTCAAATTCTTTGGTTGTGGGCCATTGCGAATCCCTGGGGTTATTGCCGGATTGCCGAGAGGTGTGGAGCAAGGTGGAGCTGCAACCCGGTGGCTCGAGCAAGGTACATAACTCAGGTGGTGCCCTTCGAAAATTTATCTACATATGTATGTGCACTTAAATACTTAGTTAACTTGAGCAATACTAAGTCTCTCACTATCAAGTACTTCCTTATACTTACTTCAGACAAGGTGCTCGGCGAACATAGTACACTAGAATACAGCTAACGAGTAGTACAACAGTTAATTCAATAGACCGAAGGCCCTGTTGTGGGAGAGATAGTAGTTTTATTACTTCGGAAGCGTTAGGCATGGCAGACCGTGGAAGAGCTTGAAAACATCACCGTGGCCTGGCAGACCTGGGAACGCGTGAGGTGGCTTGGGAGTGGTTGGAGGATTCTGAGCTGTGCGTTGGAAGCCAGCTAAAACCATGTGACCATGCAATGGCTTGCAACACCTTCAATGCCGATTAAAGCCGAGTGGGTTTTTCCAACAATTATCAAGTCCGAGCAGCCAAGACACTTCACCTAAGTCCGTCATCTCGAACTTCGACCGAAGATGATTTTGAAAATTTCTTCCATAGTGTTCGCTGCAATTGTCAAGTCATCAACTGATTCTACGACAATATGTGTCTTCTCTCCATGTCCCAATATGAAGACGGCTTGGTCCGAGTTGCAAACACGAAATCCCATGGACTTCAGGACCTGCGACAGCTTCTTGTACCACTTGCTTTGTTCCATACAAAGCTTTCTTCAACAGTAGTGCGAACTTTCGGAGTTCCGCTTGAGGAAGGCCGGGGTACTGTTCCAGCCCCTCGAGATATCCGTGAGGTGGCTGGACATCAATTGTCTCCTTGAGCGGAGTATTGAGGTACACTGATTTCACATCCATATGGTGAATTTCGCCGTCGGGTTGCGCGGCTAAAGCTAGGATAACTCGCAGGGTCGCCTCGGCCCATTGCTCGCCTTGCGGGCTACTAAGTGCTTCTTGAGCCGTTCGGGGCTCTGCGCCAGGAGTTCCGCAATGGGCCATCGCAAATTCGATTTCAGGATGCCTATGCTTCTCGACTCCTGCGCTCGCCATGGCACATCCACAGTGGAGGTCCGCAAAATGGGTGGGTTTGTGGTGACAAAATCTCTGCCGGTATTCGACTTTGGTTCAATTAATCAGTCGCGTCGCGATACTTTCTTAGGCAAGGGAAGCTCTTCTTCTTTAGAATCGGGTTCAGGAGCAGGTGGTTCAAGCGCAGGTGGTTCTGGAGCCTCCGGAACTTTTACAGGATCAGCGACGATGTCCGGGACGACCACCTCTGTCACTTTCTCCCCCTCAGATTGGATATCCCCGATGAGGACTTCATCCCGATTGAATCTGATGTTTTGCTCCACTGCTACTTTGCACTTCTTTGGCCAATATATTCTGTAGCCTTTGCTCTGCTTGTCAAAACCAACAAACTTGCCCTCGAGAGCTCTGTCGTCGAGTTTCTTTGTCCCTTCTTGATGAACCAATGCTTTACATCCAAATTCGTGGATGTCAGGTAAATCGGGCTTCTGGCCCGCAGCGGCCTCAATGGGCGTTTTCTTTACCAGTGCCCGTGTCGAAGTGCGATTTTCCAACCAATCAGCGTGTTTGACTCTCCCCACAAACTTGGGAAGTCCGGCCGCAATAATCATTTCGCGGGCATGGTCCAGCAGCGGTGTAAACGTTCCACCGCGCCTTTCTGCTGAGGCGAATCGTGCACGTTCAAACGCCGCACGGTTCCGAAAAATAAAAATAAAAATATTGCATAACGGGCGCGAATGACCCAGACCCGAATCGAACAGACGCCTTCTTTTGTTTGACGACCAAACTTCAAGCTTGAAGGAAACCAGACGCGGACCTCAGCCACCGAGTCGGTATTGAACTAGGGTATGCCCTGCATATATGAGGGAGGACATTCGAACGGGAAGGAGAATAAAAGGCTGAAAAAGGAGATGCACCCACCTTTCCATGACCCAGGCCCACGTCGTACCGGGCACGATTGAACATGAGCGCTTAGTTCAACGACTTGCACCGAATCACACACAGGGATTTAGTTGGGGGTAGAAAGAAAAAATCGAGGACAACAGGTGATGCCCCGGGCCCGAGCCGAACGGGTGGCTTCTGCATAGTTGATCTTCTGTCCCAAGGAGAGCAGATGCGGACCGTCCGCTACCGGGTCGCTATTTACCTGGGGGCTACCCGGAATAGATGAGGGAGGACATTCGAATTTTGTGCGCGGGTTGAAAAAAAACAACAACATCGCAAGACGGGACCCAGGCCCGAGTCGAACGGGCGTCTTCTGCACTTTATTTCGCATAATCTTCGAGCCACGAAAGCAGGTGCGGACCGTCCACCACTGGATCTGTATCTGTTGTATCTGCCTCTCCGTGTCCCTGAAAGGAGTGCAATAATGTTTAAAGTTCAGCCAAGCGACAAATGAAGCGTAACCAAGAGAAAAAGATCGAAGCACGAAGGCCAGTGACTGAGCCCTAATCAGACAGGCTCCTTCTGCTATTTATATTAACTTGCAACTTGCAGCCTCCCTGTGAACCTGGATAAATGAGGAGGTTCAACTAACGAAGAATTCAATTGAACACACCGGGGAGAAAAAATCCTTCCGCCCAAGACAGCGACCCGGGCTCGAGTCGAACGGGCGTCTACTGCTGTTCAACTTGCATTCCTCAAAGGATGCGAAAGACAACTGCGGACCGTCCCCCACTGGGGCTGTAACTATCTCGCTGCGAGCCTGAATAATGAAGGAGCAAATTTCAACCACCGGGGCCCGCATCGAACGGGCACCTTCTGCACAGCAAATTGCCTACCCGCCACCGGTCCCTATTTACCTTCCTAGAGTCGTGGATGAACTAAACATCCAAGTCCGCAACAAATTGAACCACCGTGAGCGAAAAATGCGACCAAGTCCTAGGGACCCAGGCCCGAGTCGAACGGGCACCTTCTGCTGTTTAACTACTCGCTGTGGACATTCAATGAGGACAGACACGGACCGTCCGCCACTGGGTCGATATTATCCTCGACGTGAGCCTGCAATGCAAGCCCAAAAATGTAATCAAGGGAGCATGGAACGCACAGTAAGAGTCAAAATTATGGAGACTCGATCCAGCGTACCACAGCCCAGACAAAGAAGCGCCCCGCCCAGAGAGAGAAAGAAAGGGAAAGCAAAGAAAGCGAAAGAGAAAGCGAAAGAAAGGGAAGGGAAAGGAAGGAAGGAACGGAAGGAAGGGGTGCGTGCGTGTGTAAGGGATAGATCGTTCGCTAGTAATACAACTCCGCGCCTGACGGCGCATCGAGACCCCATTTGGAAATAAACCGTTTACCGCGGCGCAGACACCGCAGGCGCTGCGCCGCTGACTGCGCCACTCCGGCACAGTCGTCCGGCAAGTAGCCGCGCGTATCCTAAGTATAGTATATAAGTAGATAGTTCATGTACTGTACGGTAGCTTTCAGAAATCGGAGACTCTTATCACGCAACTCAAGCCAATAAGATTCTCTACTCGAAACTCTAGTGTGTCACTTCCTTTCTCACGTTACTAACAACTCTACAGAAAGTCAGCGACCTCACATTTTTTTGCGTGTACTCTTACACATCTCATTTCTCTCAACATTCGGATTGATCACCCGAGTGCGTCTCTATCTATCCATTTTTGCTAATAATTTTTTTCTTTAGACATGTCTCATAAACGCGTACGTACGAAGAAGATACGGAACCCCTCCGCCCACAGCACGCAAACGCTGGGGGAGGAGGTGGCGGCCGTTGGTGCAGACCTCAACACGTTGGTTGAGGGCACCGTGGGTCGGGACTTGCTCCGAGGCGCACAGGATGTGCACCATCGCGAGAATTCCCCTCCTGGACATCGGGCATCCGATCTTGACCTCGCGGCCAAGTGGGGATTACCTGACCTTGTCCAGGCAGCGGAGGGCAGAAGGGTGACGCGAGGATCGCGGTCGACCATGCCCAAGCGCCTGGAGGTGTCTCTTCAAGAGATTGACGCCTCGGCAGCTGGCCTTGAGGTGTCCCGAAAGGTTGACGCCTCGGCAGTAGTGCGCTTGGAGGTGTCCCGAAAGGTTGACGCCTCAGCTGCCATACAGTCCCCAGTTACGCACAATGTCGCGGGCAGTGCCGAAGATAACTCTGGGGACAATACAGTGGTTCTATCTGCGTTCGGTGAGTTGCCATGGGGTAATCTGCCAGCAGTAGACCGGAACGTGCTGCAGGCTAGTCACGCACCTCATGTACTGAGGTACGAGCTTGAGGAATATATGCAGCTGTTCCAAAGTCAGTATGACGGGGATTCGGAGGACAGCGAAGACTCCACGGACACAGAGATGATCCTGGCCCCCGTTCATACTTGGGACAAAAACTGGACTATCGCCACGAACAAACATGGAGTGAAGCTGGGCAGTGGGAATAAATTGAACATGAATCAACTCACTGTCAAGCCCAAGTTTTTCCCTGAATGGTTCGACATGAGTGATGAGGAAGAATCCAGTGTTCCTCAGAACGCACCGGAGTTGCCTAATATTCAACGAATGGATCTATCGATCCTGGAGGATATCATACTAGACATGAGTGATGATGAGGATATAGTGGAATTGCTCTCAGAATATTACACACCGGCGGTTCATTACACGGAGGATCAACAGTTGCAAGCAGCAATCATCGAATCCTTGAAAGACCCGAAGGCTGGAAGCCTATGTACGGAACGGAGGGCGGGTCCTTCGACGCTGAAATTGGGTGCTGTAATTGTCGAGGTCAGCAGCGAGACGGAAACAAGTACTACCGCCTCGCCGCCACAAACACCCGAATTGGTACCCAATAGGCTCGGAGAATCGTCCAAAGGCAAAGGTGTCGACAAAGCGGAGAAGGGTCCGGCTTACGACAACCTGCATCATACTCGCAGACCTGGAAAACCGGCCAAGGATGAGAAGAAATTGAACAAGAAAGCTGCGAAGGCTAAAGATAATCATCAGAAACCTCACCATTTTAAACGAGATCACTCAGAAATCCCTGAAGGCGGTTGGTTCCGGGCCACAACAGTAGGGCCAGATGGACCACCAACTCCGCCATCATCGTCTTCCTCATCTAGTGACAGTGATAGCGATTCAGACTCGTCGGATGGTGGCTCCGATTCGGAACCAAGTTCATCTTCGGCATCAGACTCGAGCTCGAGCTCGTCCTCTCGTCGTCGTAAGCGGACACCTCTGAAGAAGAGAACTGCGGCGAAGAAGGAGCATAGGAAAATAAAGAAAGCCTTGTCTTCAATTAAGATTAAAACCCCGTTCATATTCGAAGGGAAGGCCGATCTTGATGTATTTGATCACTGGACATATGAAGTCGATACCTGGGCAGACTGGAACGGAATTAGCGATTCCATGACAGTGAAAATCATGGTGAACTTCATGGGCGGAAAGGCGAGCAAGTTCTTTATGAAACATGTTGCAATGCGCCGCAAAGACTGGACTGTAAAATCAGTCTATGAAGGCCTGTTCAATTACTGCTTCCCACCCGATTTTAAGCTTCAGCTCCGCGAGAAGCTGATGGCTGCGACTCAAGGCACGAGCAAAGTCCGGGATTTCATGAGAGATGTTGAATCCTTGGCCGTACGATTTCCCGATATCACTGAACGACAGCTGAAACAAATATTCTGGCGGGGAATTCATCAGGATTTGAGGCTGCATTTAATTGGGAGGGGGTTGGACCCCGAACGTACCACACTTAAGCGCCTATCGAGATATGCCACGAGGCAAGAGAACGTCCAGGAAGCTTTCAATAGTGAGCAACGGCAGGCGACCAATCAAGGCCACCAGAAGCCGTGGAACCAGAAGAAGAGCACATACCAAGGCAAGGATAATTTCAAGCCCAACGGGGCAGGTTCAACAGCGAATCCGGCACAGGATAAGCCTGGAAATAAGCAAGGAACCTCGGGAAAGTTTTCAGCCAAGAATGACTTGAAGCCGAAGAAGGAGGCCCATACCAATAGATTGAGCACAGAGGAACGCGACCGACTCAGAGCAGAAGGGCGCTGTTTCAACTGCAAAGATACTGGACATGAGAGTCGAAACTGTCCGGATAGACTCAAGGCCAAGGGACCTACCTTGAAAGCTGGGGCTGTAAAACTTCCGGGACTGGAACGCAGAGCAAAGGCCGCTAGAGAAGCCAACCTCCGAGTAGGGGCAATCGGGATTCCGATCCCAGAACATATTCTGGAGGGCGAGTGGGCACGTGCACACAGTGAAGATGCGGGAAAATACCTTGTAGCAATGCTGCAAAGCTATTACAATGATTCTAGCAATGAGCGCTTCACAATCATCGACTACGGCGATGCATTTGAAATCACTGACTGGCAGCAACCTGAAGATGCATTCATGGTTAGCCGTAGTGAACTAGACGACCCGGAATGGAACGTACAATCAATGCTAGCGAAGAATCAAGGGTCTACTGAGAAAGATAAAGTTCGACACGGAGGATTTCCGAGTATGGGCGAACCTGACAATGAGTATCCTGCCCTTGAGTGGCTCAAGGTTCGCTTTGCATTCGCAATGGACAGCACACCGTGGGCAATGATTACCCCCAATGAACGAGTCACTGTGGAACCACACGCGTCGGGCTATCAAATAAATATTCTCAACACCGAGATATTTTTCGTTGTCAGGCACGCACAGATAAAGGACCCGAAATTCGATCCAGGGAGTATTCTCGATGACGAATGGGAGGATATCACAATTATCAATGCACAGCAGCGGGAATCTCTGCACTTACCTCTCAAAGATTTCGAACCCTGGCGACACAATGAACTGACGGTGGGATTATTTGCTATGCAGCCAGAAGTAGCGGGCAAGAGACCTATTAACCACAGGAAGTCAGTCAAGAAAGGACCGTCGTACAAGGACCGGGTTGAAGCGATCGAGAGGAACGCGATGACCCCGCGGGACTTCAAACGATGCTTACCGAAGCCCGTAATAATTCAAGTTTTGGTCAACAACCAACCGGTTCGTGCGCTTCTTGATACAGGTTCAATGGCTGATTTCATTTCCACGAATCTAGTCGACCAGTTAACTCTGAGGAAGGATATTTTGGCAAAGCCAATTACCGTTCAACTCGCTGTACATGGTTCTAGATCTAAGATAAATGCATCTACGATGGTCCAAATGAAATATCAGGACATTGACTGCGAAAGACGGCTGGATATTGCGAACCTTGACAGTTATGACTTAATTCTTGGGACTCCATTCATCTTTCAGCATAAGATAGCCATTGGAATGAACCCTACACGTGTCATAGTTGGGTCTGCTAAGCCACTTGAAATGCGGGGTGCTGAAGTCACCACCATTCAATCTGCAGCGGCAGATCTCTTCGAGGAAGACCTAGATACGATTAGGGCCATGCTCCGAGAAGAGGCAGCGGATCTGTGCCCCGAAACGAAGGACACAGACATGCCCCCATTTCGCGCCATAAACCATACGATTCCGTTAAAGGACGAGACCCGGATTTATAAGTGGCGACAATCTAAGTGTCCAGAAGCTTTGAAATCAATCTGGAGGGACAAGAAGAATACTTACATGAAATCAGGTCGCTGGCGCATGGCTACAGGAAGCAATGCTTCGCCGATGCTCATCATTCCGAAGCCGATGAAGGCTGACAATATAATGAGAATTCGGACGGTGGTTGACAAGCGGGAACAGAACGATAACACCGTTAAGATCGCAGCACCACTGCCAGACATTCATGTGATTCTCAGGAATGTCGTGCGGCACCCATACCGAACACTGGTGGATGGGAAGGATTTTTATGAACAAATCAGAGTCGTCCCGGAACATGTATCACGCACATTGTTCAATACACCGGATGGCACCATGGAAAGCTTCGTTCTCCAACAGGGAGACTGTAACGGACCTGCCACATGTCAGACATTAATGAACCACATCTTCGCACCTTATATCGGAGTATTCATGGATGTATATCTTGATGATATCATAATTTACTCGGACACTGTCGAGGACCA